AGTAATAATTTGATACTCGTTTTCCAAACGAGTTTTCATCATCGTGGGTGTGTTTAAAATTATCATATTAGAACGGTTTGCGATTTAGCGAATATTTGTTTACGTCGCGGCACGGATACAGTCCATCTGAATAACATTTTTTTTAATATAACCCCTTTTCTATTTTACTTGCTTATAATTGCTATTATTAGAACCAGTTACTGGTGGTAGGACCTCTTGTGTGTCCGCGCGGGTAGGTACCAGCACTCTGCCTATTTCTGCCGTGAAGCAGTAATGCGTTTCGGTTTGAAAGGCGGGGCAGCCGTTGTAATTATACTTGAGACTTTAGAGCTTATATCTCAAGGTGGCTGGATTGGATTTGTAGTAAGGATCCCTATTTAAAAAAAAAAAAGAATATAGCCTATGTCACTCGGGGATTAGTGTAGCTTCCAAACAGTGAAAGAATTTTTTAAATCGATTCAGTAGTTTCGGAGCCTATTTAATACAAACAAACAAACAGATCTTTCCTCTTTATAATATTAGTATAGAGTATAGATAATTACGATTAGTCGATACAGCAATTCATATTAGCATATACGCACTTAGTACGTGTTTTTTTTTCAGTTTCACCAGGACAGGTGGCAGGGAAGGAGGGGTGGGATTTGTTAATAGCTACCCGAGCGCCTTCGGAGGAGACCTAACAACTCTAGGGCAGTTTCTTCGCGAATTCATTTTGTCTATCTCTGCCGGCAAAGCAGTCGCGTGTTAGGGTGGGATATTCGTTATGCAACACAGCTGAGGCTTCAACCTCAAGATGGGTGGCAGCCCTATACCCAAGACCTTAGTGTCCGTGGGCCCCGATAACCAGTCAACACCAGGTGAATCGCTAATTAGATCATCCGTCTATGGATTAAGGGTGGTAGGACCTATTGTGAGTCCACGCGGGTAAGTACCACCGCCCTGCCTATTTCTGCCGTGAAGCAGTAATACGTTTCGGTTTGAAGAGTGGCGCATTTACGTCGTAGATGTCTATGGGCTCCAGTAACCACTTAACACCAGATGGGCTGCGAGCTCGTCCACCCATCAAGCAATAAAAAAAAAGGAATAAAAAAACTGTTGGTCAAAACTTCAGCAACTCATAGCTACATTAAAAACTGTACAATTATGTATGTGTGTTAATTACATATTATATAAATAAATGATTTTATTGATAATTTCAAATTTTGCTATACCAAAACATTTATAGTCTTGTTTGTTTGTAGTTTGTTGATAGTGTATTAGAGATGAATAGTGTAAACAAGTTTCAGGGTCAATTGATGATAAGCGATGGATATTAACCCGAAGACGCAATTTTGATTTCACTATCAACTTTGATTCATTGCATCAATAATTTTAGTGGTAGGAATGTATAAAAAAGATTTTCATTTATTAACTAGCGTAGAATTTAAAGTAAATTAACTAAAATGAGATGTTTGTATACAAATTACAAAGAAGTCAATATATTTTTATACGAATAAAAACCTGTTTTTCATCTATACGTCCTTATTCCACTCATCTGATTGTAATGAAATTTGTTGGAGTTGTTTTTGGCATTCGAGGGAGGGATTCTGCCATGGCACTTTTTCTTTTTTATTGCTTAGATGGGTGGACGAGCTCACAGCCCACCTGATGTTAAGTGGTTACTGGAGCCCATAGATATCCACAACGTAAATGCGCCACCCACCTTGAGATATGTTCTAAGGTCTCAGTACAGTTACAACGACTGCCCCGCCCTTCAAACCAAAACGCATTACTGCTTCACGGCAGAAATAGGCAGGGTGGTGGTACCTACCCTCGCAGACTCACAAGAGGTCCTACCACCAGTAATTACGCAAATTATAATTTTCTACAACGCCAGATGGCGCGCTAGTAGCTCTAAAATATCGATTTTTTCCTTGCAATACCTAGCGAACCAGAGCGGCAAACGATCGGGTCTCTCACTAGTTTTCTATACTTATCACCAAAACATGAAATATATATAAACATTTATATTCGAATTTCTAAAGCATTTTTTATTATTATTTTACACAAGAAATAACGAATTATTAATCTTAAGATATGAATCTTATAAATCAATCAATGTATTAGGCGGTTATCGCTATAGCAAAGGTGGTAAAGCTAGTATTGATAAAAGATAATTCTCATTGGGGACAACACAGACACGTGAGTAACGTAATAGTATGAAGTACGCAATATCAGTGATTGTAAATAATGCATATTATTTTATACATGATGAATAATAGATAACGAGATTGTTTTGGATGCATGTAGGTAGATTTGAAGTATGGACGGTAGAGGTAAAGAGCACTATCTTATAAGGAGGAAAAGTTGAAAAGTTCTCCTGTAACCAGCAAGTTATTATTGTAAGGTTCACCAAAATAGTAGGAAGTCGAAATGATATGAATGTACCAGTTTTAAACAAATTGACATGTGCTTAATTGAAGTGAAGCGTGGTTACGGCACTATTTATGAAATCCTTCCACTTTTATACTGGTGATAGGGTCTCTTGGGAGTCCGCGCGGGTAGGTACCAACACTTTGTCTATTTCTGACATGAAGCAGTAATGCGTTTCGGTTTGAAGGGTGGGGCAGCCGTTGTAACTAACTATACTTGAGCCCTTAGTACTTATATCTCAAGGTGGGTGGCGTATTTACGTCGTAGATGTCTATGGGCTCCAGTAACCACTTGACACTAGGTGGGCTGTGAGCTTGCCACTACGACGCATCTTCAATTGGCTTCCTTTCAGTGGAAACTTTTTAATATAGTGAAATGGTGGTCCAACTTGTAACCTCCATAATTTGAAGGGACAGGGCATCGTAATGATGAAGTAGACGAGTACTGCATCGGCAGTGGGGCCTATTGTAAGCTCGTACGCGTACGTATCGCGACTGCCTATGACTGGATTCTTGTATTGATCCCCATGGGCTACAGTACCAATAAGACACTGCAGTACTAAATAAAAAAAATATGTATGTAACCTCTATACGATTAATCTTAAAAGACGTTAATATGATATAAAGATGACATTGCTAGAATTTCGAATATTGAAACATAAAAACATTAGAAAGAACATTAGACATATAAAAGCATTTTTGAAATATTAAAATATAAAAAGATATCAAAATTATTTAAAGCAATAGCTTAACTGTATTTTGATATAAATAAAATAATACATTACATGTATATAACGAGATCACTGCGGATAAGGATTTTACAATGCTATTACTGTTATATGATATTGATAACTTGGATTTGAAGAGAGCTATAGGTTATACTAGCCAATAGACGCTCACAAGCGAAGCTTGTTTTCAGTAATAACGCATTTAAAAAAAAAAATTTTTTCAATGTTGTACAAGGCAGTATTCCCAAGTTGTGTACAAAATCTATGGACTATTTTTAAGTTTATAATAGGACTTGTAAAAAATAATATTTACCAATGTAAGGCTGAGTGTCACTTGTCTCTGTTCACACAGTTACTACCTACTATTTAACGATGTTTCACTGATAATTAGGGTAACATGAAAAAAATTATGCTAATATTGATAGACGTAAGATTGGAAATTTTATGTTTTATCTCATCCTCGCTCATATCAATATCACAATTGAAAATTGCAAATAAAGAATCGTATAGATGAGTTTAATTCAATTTTCATATTATATAATTTTCTGACACATTTTTTATAATACTTGAATAAATATGCAATTAAGCTTTAGACAATGATAATTAAAACTAACATCCTAATCAAACCGCATGTTACATTGTTATCTGTGATGATATAAAGACAGGTCTTATTCCAGCTTTGTATTTTAATATATTATAATTATGCATTTCAAATTTATAGTGCATAATTTTGTTCTTTGCATTGTTCACTATTACGTGATAACCATTCTTTTTTTTTATGTTAATGGCAGAAGTTCTTAAGCAAACCCTAAGCCTAGAGGGGTCATGTTGACGTAAAAAATGGTAATGTTTAAGATTTTAGATAAGTATTCATAAAAATAATTAAAACTACTGTTAAGATTTAATCTCATTAAATTATGTTTACGTTTATTATATCTACCTGCACTACTGTATCACACATCATCAACCTTATTAAGAACTTTCCTAAATTAATAATAATTTACGAATGTTTACTGCATTACTATTTGGTCTATGCTTTACAGAGGATTTTTTTTAAATATTTAACTTTATAAATTACATGGTAATATTTCCTATCACTGGGCTTGGACTGGTTGCATAGCAGGGAGAATAATTTAGTCAATAATTAGATTATTAATTACTAGCGGACTGACAGATATTGTCTCTAAATCTGAATATTTCAAAACTTTTTTAAACCAAAAAATCATTAAAAAAGTATTTTTAATGATCAAATTGTCAATCTAAGCTATTCTTGAATTCATTAGAAGAAACAAAAAATTCTCATCAAATTGGTCCAGCCGTTTAGTAGGAGTTTACTAACTCCACACGGAGAGAAGAATCCTACCTATATATTAAACCTTAAAACAGACAACCCTGCTAACTTATGTTTTTACCTGTTAACTAAAATTTTGAAGAAAAGTCCAGCATTGTTAAAACATTTTATAGTTATTTACTTTTATTTTTCATTACTTTAAAACATTGGTTTCAGATCTTATTTAATGAACATATTATAATATTAGTTATTTTATGTTTTTATATTGACTAATCAGCACGTTTTAATGCTATAATCACCTGCAATTAATCAGTATAAGTATGATGATGCACATATGATGCGAAATAAAACAACCTAGCCTAGCATCATTACAGTATATTCACTAGCAACATTTGCATATCAATACATACAAAAAGGGTGTAATCCTATTTTGGCAATATTACAATTTAATACTGCATATTGTTTTTGCTGAGTATTGCCAACTTTACAGCCGCATTGGATACAAATAATTATTTATGTTTATTAATATTCTCATGGTATTAAATGTATATATTTTTATTAATCACTAACCTGATGTTTAGGTATCTTGGAACATATTTTTCTGTTATTAGCAGTGTTATCAGAAGGTGGAGGCTGTGTAGGAGGTATTCCTACTCCCTTTGAAGATTGGAGTCTTGTTTTTACTACTTCTAATGGACATGTTACTACTGCACCTGCTGTACCTGCCACCCTGTGAAGATTATTTATTAAAATCGATTTATTTATTAAATATCTATGAGCACTTATAAACATCAGTGATTGCTCATCATTTTCTTTAACATATTCAAGTCTATGCAACCATTTAATATATTGAATTTTTATTACCAGAAAATCAGAATAGTTACAAGGTATAAGAGAATTAATTTCCATGCCAAAAGATCATTAATATAGTAGCATGGTCTAAATTAAAAACAATATTCATTTGCTAAGTTTCATCATGCATGCATCAGCATGTCAACACTTTTGCACTAGTAGGGATCATAATATCTGTTAGTATTTGTTTTTTTAACTATCTAGGACCTAATCGGGAATACCATCAGTATATCTATCTAGTGATAACTATGTTTACATTCAAATTCTCCTGTCTTAAGACAGATTAATGTAGGAATGAAATTTTCATGATGAGTAAATATAATAACACTAAAATTTTGTCTTTGAATTCAGCTAATTAACCATGCACTGGTTCAATAGGTTCTACAGTTGAGATTGCAAATACAATTAAGATTACTATCTCATGCCCGAATGAAGGTGGTGGCAGCATTGGCACTGTGGTTTTTAAAGGCTCTAATGGACAATTAAAACCCATTAGGCACTAAGATCAGCTGCCTATATCTTTTTAAAAACCTAAACCTTTTTTAAATTACTGTATCAGGAGTCTGCAATTATAGAATAAGTATGTACATAATAATATATTTTCTACATTGAGTTTATATGAAACAAATGTACTAAATTTCGAAAATAACATTGTTTTCATTTTATGTTACTGTCGAAAACAGTGAAGAGGTGCACTGTTGGTAAATGTATGGTCACTAGATAAGATTTACGTGAGGATTACAACATAATATTATGGTATTACAAATTTTAATATCATTGTTTGTACTTTGGAGCCTTCCCAAATATTTACAATACGGGTGTTTAAGCTACATGAGAATAAAAGTTCAAAATTTGAAACAAACTAAGGACTTACAAATAAATCCATTAATCTTGCTATACAGCTTTAAATTTAAATAAAATATATCACACTTTCTTGAGACCAATATTTTATTTACGTAAACAACGTCTCGCCACATGTTCGCAACGGTAAGCAACTAGATTAAATTTCAAGATAAGGTGATATTCTTTAGCATTTGGTATTACGTACTTAACAATTTACAATTCACTCACCCGCCCGCCACAAGATGTATCGCTGTATCCTTTTGAGACATTTTAGGAACCCCAAAATAATTACATGACTGCAAATTGCGACTGTCTATAAATAAACAAAGTGCAACACCACTGAACGTACACTACATACAGTTTATCTTTGTATGTTCGTTAAGTACACAGTTAACTCGTACGAATTGAAAAGCAAAATGAATTTCAAACACTATATTTTTACAAAGATCTAATTTGTTACAAGTATTTATATTCAAATCAGTAAATGTAGTAAATCTGATTTTCTTTGCCGAAGGAACTGGTCGTACTCTTGAGTATTTACGCACACGTTTTGAAGTAGTAACATATCACAACAAGACTCGTTAACGCACACTAGTAAAATTATCCAAAACGTACGTGACTCTGACTGACTACGTGACTGACGTCTCGACTTGCGAGACAAGTCTCAAATCCAGTGCTCGAATCAGTGTATTTATTATCTGTCTCATTGTCGGCAATAAGAACATAGATAATAATATTAATATTTTTAAAAAACTCTGCGGCTTGTATTTTAGAATTTTTAATAAAGACTTGGTAATGTCACTTCTGAAACACTCTTCCGAACATTATTACAATTTGAGAGCGTTCCTTCGATTTTTTGAAAATGTTCTTGTTTTTTATTAGTGGTTTTAGGTAAGCTAACTCAGACAAGTTTGTCTCTAGATCGGAAACTAATACACCATGGCACAGTTATTATTATTATTAATGTTTCTACTAAATGGGTGGAGTATTCATGGATATCACAAAACAATATATCGCCACATTACAGAAGTTTAAGCGATAAAAACTTCGATCAATAATAGTACTAGATTAAAGATCAGGAACAAAAATAAGACGCTCCAGTGGCCACGTTTGCAGACACGAAAACATCTTCATTTCTTAGAAAAAAGTTTAATAATGTTAACGACTTCAGTTTATTATAAACCTTAATTCTTAAACATAAAGTTTAATTACCATTGCAAAATATATGTATTTAGGTCCTTTCGTCAGAAAAAGAATATTATGGAATAAATTTAAAATGTCACTTGAACATAAAAAGACATCAGTACAAAAATATTTATTCTAAAATGATACTTAAAGTCTAATTTATAAGGTTAAAAATATTTGTTTAAAATTTCGTGCTTATTGTATTGTGGAACTAGATGTAGTTCTTGGTATTACATTTCAATGCTCAGAACACAGTAAGTATTGAAAGACATAGAGTTGCAGAATATACATATTTGTTTTAGGTTTGTTTTGTATGGTCGCAACTATTTTTGACCGATTCAAAAAAGTAGTAGATAATATTTTACATTGCCGCTATTACAACAAATAGGTGATAAAAAATAAAATTGAATAAAGTAAAAAAAATATGAAAGGAAACACGAAACATGTTTTCCACGTATTCTTTATACAGAAGTAATTAAAACAATAATGTAGGTTTAATTACCTTTAAACAGATTCAGTTTGTTATAAAGCTGTCTTTTAGAAGTCATTTTTATATGAGCGGTTTCTTTTTTACAAATATAATGTAATCTTATATCAATGAATTTTTCTATAATCAGTTTAATTTAGGCTTATTTTATGGCTGTGTTCGTTTCCCCCAGAAAACAAATCCTTTTCAGCATATACGCTTAAAATATTTACACATACATATAAAGTTTTTTTAATACTTTTTTGCATTGATTTGCCACCACCATTGAACAATTCTAGAATTTTTATAAGGGTTCTATATTTCTTCTCCTCTTTCTTTCGCGACAATATATATCCATTGTGCACAGCGACAAGGGGCTACTAGGAAATCTACAAACAAAAATAACATTATAAAATAACAAAACTACTCTATGCATTCCCTGTTCAAGAATTGGTGATGTTTGTTACAATAGTTGGTGCCTTGTTGCAAACATTGGCCAAACAATTACAATATTCGTAAATTGTGTTTTATTTACAATATAATTGTGTTTATTATTTTATGAAAAACACTTAATAATATAAATTTACCAAAAAAAGATATTCCTTCCAAAACCTTGGTGTTACGGTGGTTTTTTACTCAGTTTTTGAACGCGCATTGCAGCGTTTTGACGTCTTAGTGTTGGCTATGATTGGACCATACTAATTTGAAATAAGACCACAAATTTATTTGTGGTCTTATTTTTCGGGCCGTTTTTGAAGCGCTAATCGCGAATCTAGTAGTATTATTGATCGAAGGATAAAAAAGTTAAATTTCAGCATGGAGTTAATAAGAATTTCAGTCACTGTGACCGAAATGAACCAATGATATGTCATGTACGCTATTTCTTGTTTTAGTCGATTGGTTTCTTTCTTTACTAATATAATCATAGATTATACCAAATAATAAAGAACTAAAGGAAAGATTGGCTGCTGGTTATGTATAATTTTTGTTATCTGTGTATTGTGTTATGTGTGTATGTTATCTATGAATGTAATTTGCAATTTTCACGTTGCATAATTTCATCATTTTTAATTCCGTGAAGTACATTTAGTAAATTCTAAAGTTGACCGGTTTCCTTTTTATTGAACTTCTTTAGGCATCATGTTAATGTCACAAAGGATTGGATCATTGATGTGAGTAAAATGCGAGTAAATTTTAACAATCAATAATTCGGTTAATAAATTTGCTTTAAAATATTCTTTTGAATACAATTTATATGTTTAATCAGTCGAGTTGCCGGTGCTTCTCGCCAGAAGCATACTTTGCCAGAGCTTCCGTACGAGTACAATGCACTGGAGCCGGTCATTAGCCGTGAAATCATGAGTCTTCATCACAGCAAACATCACGCGACTTATATCAACAATCTAAACGTTGCTGAAGAGAAACTCGCACAGGCACAAGCTAAAGGTTGTACTTGGTATAAATTTTCTAATTTACTAAGTCCGCTATAGCTAAGCCATAAGAAATTAGTTAAACATTACATTATTTTCACATAATGTGTGTTCTTTTATAAGTTACAGAAATAACTGTAAATTACAGCAGCAGATACAAACACTATTCTAAATTTGTTGAGTGCGATCAAATTCAATGGCGGAGGGCATATAAATCACTCAATATTCTGGTTGAATCTCACTCCGTGTAAGACAGTACCCTCCTGTCCATTTTCACAAGCTGTTGAAAAGTAAAATAAATTTCAAAATATGTATATTGAAAGTTAATAAGTAATGAGTAGTGTATAGATACTCAAATGTAAGTGGTATTTAAACTTAGTATTAGGTGTAAGGGAATTATGACAAGCGGCATACAAAGACAGGTTGTCTACTGATTATATTTGATATTATAAAACTATACTGAAAATAAGATCTTGCGTTATTTTCACAGTAGAAATGTAATATACCATAATTAAAACCTGCTCTTGTGCTGGATTGTGTTCACCACGGGAAGAGTCAGCTGGCATTTTACTATAAATTATGTTCACAGAATGTGAACTCACTTGTAATGTATTAGTGAGGGTGCTTCTTCTCCTTTTAATAAAAGGATTGTTAAGTGTAGGTTGTATAAAAACAGACATACAATTAACTGATTTGTTACCCAACATGTGTGCTAATATTACCGTAATCATAGATCAGTTCTATACTTAGCTTATTTCGTATTTTATGTTTCTTTGAAAATGATTCCCTTACACTCTACACAAAAGATTAATTCATTTTGGGTTGTTCAATATAGAAAATAGTTAGGTTTATTATTTATTAGTATTATTACTTTGGTAAAATTATAATTTGATAAGCCTTAGAATTGTAGAACTGTGTTTATCGGATAGTTGTTTTTTTTTTAGTCAGAAGGTTTTCGCATTCTACCCTGCTTTTTGAAGTTCCGAAAAATGTAGATAGATAATTAGTTGATCCTCAGTCTTTCATGAAAAAGATGAATAAATAAATACACTCATTCAAATTTATTACGTAAACTAATATTTAATGTAATATTAACCCTTTGGGCTCCAGAGGTGACGATTACCAGTATAGCAATGTTTGTTTTTCTATCGGTGTTAAGTTTATACTCTATTCTACTTCAGGTGATATCGACACCATTATCAACCTTGCACCAGCCTTGAAATTCAATGGTGGTGGTCACATCAACCACTCGATCTTTTGGCACAACCTGTCACCAAATGGTGGCAAGCCTTCTGATGTTCTCACCAAAGCCGTTGAGAAGTATTTGATTTTGAATAAATTTTGCATGTTTTATTTTCTTTTTGCTTTATGTGATGGTTTTCTTGGTCTTTTAAAATAACAATCTAAAACCTTACTGTTTAATATTTTTAGATGTTTGATCCTTAATTTTTTTCTTAAACATTTGGAATATAATTGGAAACAAGCCTATGATAAGACAAAATTACCAATATGAGAAAATTGTAACTACTAAAAGACATGGTAATAAATCTGTAATTAATAGCAATTGCACATCTATTACCATGTCTTTTGACCATGTGTCTACCACATTCTGCACTAGTTTAGAGAATAATATAATGGTCTGCCTGGTTTTAAGTGGTTGTCAGAGCCCATAGACAAAACGGAGTTAATGTTACCATTCGCCCTGAGATAAAAATACAGTCAATTGTATTCCAAAACGGCTTTCGCAATCCTAATATGAAAAAGTCAGACTGCTTTGCAAGATAAATAATTCGCGGTAGGTACTTATGCCTGCAATTGACAATACACCCTAAAATAATGACGTCATTATCCCAAAGATCTTTACTGCTTGACTCAGGCCAAAAGTAAATTTATAAATTGTATGGGTTAAGCTTCTACACGATCTTATTTAGTCACCATAGAAGTTGTTTGTGAACCCGTCAGATAAGTATTTCTCTATAGGGCCTGTGCCTCAGGTATTTTAACACTCAAAGTCAAAGACACGTTAAAATTAAATTATATTGTTATATCAGACCGCAATAATACCTAACATAGGTTATCACATTGCCTCCTTTGAAACTAATAAAATAGCATTTTTTTAATATGGAAATGTTTGCAAATTCACGTTTTTTTTGTGTTACTTGAATGTCTAAGGTGGTGTGTGTGTGATTAATTGTACTAACAAGTTTAATTTTTAATCTTGTTTTCTGCTTTTACCGACGATATAGGATTATCACTGTGAACTACTGTCTTAAACTAGGACTGAAAAAATAGCAATTTAGTTATAGAAATATATAGCATTTAGATAAAAAAGCATTAGGATGATTGTGGCTTGTGAATTTATTTATAGTTGGTATAGTAACCGGCAAACTTCGTGAGCAAATGACCTTGACTGCGCAGAACCGAATTTTAGATCACTTTGGTGGTGAGGGTGAGGCGCGACGGCAGGGGAAATCGTATCGAGCGCGTTATTGGTAGATCAGTTGAACCTTGCGTCCCGCACCGCGCCCTCGTTCCGCTTGCTCCCAAAAGTACGCTTGCGTACAGTGAAAAGTCTATCGTTATTAACCGTTAAGTTATTTGTTATAATTGCTTGTTGACTTTGTTGCCATTGCTATATGTTGAGTGTTTGTTGATTTTTTATAAAAAATACACTATGCCGCGACAAACTGGTGTAGTATTCAAAAGAAAGGGTAGAAAAATTGTGTACGACGTATATTGCTTCATTATAAAACGGGAAGAATGATATGGAAAAAGTAAAACAGACTTCGGAAGCAAGAAAAACATCAGTGAGTACTGTTAGGTGCATTATTAACGAAGCTAAAGGCTCTGGCTTGCTCGCCGTGTTTCGAACTCCGGGTAAGAAAAGATCAGGGAAGAAGAAAGTTACCGGAATGGATAGTTTCGTTCAATCTGTAATAAAAAGATGTAATCATAATAACTACATAACAAGCAGCGAAACTCCGTACCGTAGAAAGGCTTCGAAAAATTTAAAGAAGATATAAATTTTAATGGCTCGGAATGAAGCTTACGACGAATTATGAAAGAGCTAGGCTTCAGATGGAAAAAAAGAACAGAAAATAATCGGAAGCTGGTAAATGAAAAAAGTAACATTCGATTACTACGAATCGAATATCTTCAAAAAATAATTAATTATAGACAAAAAAGAAGACCGAACCGACCGAGTTGTAAACTACACCGATGAGCCCTATGTCGACTTATCACGATGATAGCGACTCGGGTGATGAAAACAGTGATGATGATGATGGTCAAGATTATGATAACGAAAAAAAAATTACAAATACCAGCTTTGCTTCAACTGAACGAAGACCTGGCAACAGCTCTAGTTTTGACTTAATAGAAGGAATATCTATTTTACCCCAAGATTAAATTATTAGACTTATTAACCTATATTTTTTGTTGATGTTCTAATAAATACATAATATGTTGATTTTAATAATTTAATAGCATTATGACGCAGAGTAAATAATGTTTTTGCACGTGAGTGTACCATGCGCGAACTTACCCCCACTACGTCGACAAATGCTCAAGAAGTTTGCCGGCTATTATACATTTTTAATTTTCGCTTTTATCGTATATCGTAGCTTATATCACTTGTTAGAATTAAAACAATTCATAGGTACTAGGTTACTACCTACTTGTTAACACTCGCACACTACGGGAGGATAAAAAAAAATGAGTCCTTTAATCCATATAAATAATCCTGAATCACTGTTTCTGTAATATATAAATAACTGTTCCAGAGACTTTGGATCCTGGGATAACTTAAAGAATCAACTGTCGACAGCTTCTGTGGCAGTACAGGGCTCAGGCTGGGGTTGGCTTGGCTACAACAAACAAATGAAGAAATTGCAAATAGCTACATGCCAGAACCAGGATCCTCTGCAGGCCACCACTGGTTGGTTACAAATAATTATGATTTTTAGAAACATCTGTATAATCATTAAATAAATGATATCATCACCTAACAAAATCATTTCATAGTCACATTACTAAATTAATTTTAAAATTCATTAAACCAATAGGAAATATACGTAATCGCTATATATAAAAACGAATTCTGTTCGTTAGTCTCGCTAAACTCGAGAACGGCTGAACCGATTTGGCTAATTTTGGTCTTGAATTATTTGTGGAAGTCGAGAAGGTTTAAAAGGTTAGATAAATATGAAAATGCTCGGAATTAAATAAAAATAACAATTTTGTTTTTCCTTTGATATGTCCTCCGTCGGACCGATTCCTTTTGTTTGTTTTAAGTTTATTTTATACAAAAGTGTAGGTCTTTTATTTATCGATTGAGGCACTACGAAGTCTACCGGGTCAGCTAGATAATAAAAGAGGTCATTTTTCATGCACTCCTTCTCAGATTTTATTTGAAACAAAAAGTATGGTTAATTAAAACTCTCCACGTTTCATGTTGATGATGAAAAGGAAATTGGAATATATATTATTACGATATATTGTAATTTATAATAATAAAGGGGAAGACTTCTGTTCTGCTTTTTGGCAGTCATGGGGTGGGTTGGTTAGCGTTATACACGTAAATCATAAGTTATATGCATATTTCCTATTAATTTGAATGAATGAGTGTAAAGTTGATGTGCGTTGAAATGGTCATTTAGTTTGAAAAACAGTATTATATTAATTTGAAGTCTGATTTACAATGTTGAAGTGTGCGTCATTACTAGCTGATCACACTGTAAACAATTACTATGACCAGATTCCAAGACGCTAAATAATATTGAAGTTAATTAATGTGTTTTGTAATTTTATGTGCAAATCAAAAATTGACTTCATACATTTACAAATTTATTGGTTCCTATACGATGGGGCTTGAGTGTACCTAAAATCTGAAATGAAGTGATTCCTCTTTCCGGAGACATAGTGCCAGGGGCATAAAGGTATTAAAAACAACAAATTGTTTTCGACAAATTAAATTTTTGTTTTGCAATGCCCGTGATGTATTCTGGTAGGTTTTGCTGTAGACAGCGGCTTGACTATGCCCCTAGTATTGCGGAAGTCAATTAGGTCGGCCATAGGCAAGTTTGCCTACAAAGGCAAGAAAATATATAACTAGTCAGGTCATAAGTATTGTCACACAGTAAAAGTCGTCGTGGCCTAAAGGATAAGACGTCCGGTGCATTCGCTGTTGCGATGCACCGGTGTTCGAATCCCGCAGGCGGGTACCAATTTTTCGAATGAAATACGTACTTAACAAATGTTCACGATTGACTTCCACGGTGAAGGAATAACATCGTGTAATAAAAATCAAACCCGCAAAATTATAATTTGCGTAATCACTGGTGGTAGGACCTATTGTGAGTCCGCACGGGTAGGTACCACCGCCCTGCCTATTTCTGCCGTGAAGCAGTAATGCGTTTCGGTTTGAAGGGTGGGGTAGCCGTTGTAACTATACTGAGACCTTAGAACTTATATCTCAAGGTGGGTGGCGCATTTACGTTGTAGTTGTCTATGGGCTCCAGTAACCACTTAACACCAGGTGGGCTGTGAGCTCGTTCACCCATCTAAGCAAAAAAAAAAAAAAAAAAAAATAAATAAATTAGGTATTGAAATTGTTACGTTATAACAATTATTCGAAATCCGGTTCACCACTAAGAAGAATCGGCCAGAAACTAAGAGTTTGTTATTTTAAACTTATGTTAATGTAAGGTTTAATTACTGGTGGTAGGACCTCTTGTGAGACCGCGCGGGTGGGTACCACCACCCTGCCTATTTCTGCCGTGAAGCA